GATTTTTCTGTGAAGTTCTGTGTTCTTAACACAGATGAAAGGATATGAGGGAGAAACGTACAGTCTTTATAATGGCGTGCAATGTATAAAGGTTCTAAATCATGTAATTTTAAAAACTCATAACTTTAAAAACTGTTTTTGTCTACAGTAAACCCCCAAAACTTTGAATCTCTGATTGATTGCACGATATGGCAGGGGTAGGGTAAACGTGAGGGAGACTTTGCTTCATTTTCCATTTTACGTAAAGATGGAAAAGGGGGAGGGGGATCTGCCAAGAGTATTCATTTGATCTGAATGGAACTACAATAAACCAAATTCCTGGACAGCCATCCCAGTTCATCATGGAGAGGCATTCCCCAGCCAGCCTTTTGTCTCTGGCTCTGACAGGCCACAACTGCTATTCTAACCCTCAAGAGCATGCTATATTAAATCAATATATAATATTACCAAGGTCAACATGCAACCCGTGATCAGCTGCATGTAACCCCTAGTTACACGAACCCATCCATCTCCCTATGACAAAATTCTTTCTATTTTTCTAGAGACTTCTCATGTCCCACTAGAAGACAATGAAGGCTGAGATGATAATATTATTTTAGATGGAAACTGGTGGATATGGTTTCAAAAGGCAATAATAGTATATGTAGTTAAGAGACAGGAACGATGTGGAACATAAACACATGAACACTTAGCGGATATTGAGCCAAGTCTCGGTGATGTGAAATAATAAAGGTTAGAGTGAAGTAACTCACGAGTCTCAATGCAGACAGCATACAGAAGGAAGTAAATAAGGATGTTTGTAGTACAAGCTTGCCATCTACTGGTGAAAAAGAAAAGATACAACCAAATCAAATGCATCAGAATAAGCTTTATTGTATGAAACAGGTATATTGTGCCTCAATACATATTCCTTGGGAATATAAGCATTTTAAAGAAGCATATCAGAAATAAAACTCTGTACAGCACATACTAAACTATACTGAATATGAAATAGCTGTGTGACGTGACAAGTTTATTAATGTTTACTGTACAATTATGTTGAATAGGATTTGGGACCAGTGAGATCTGAACTGAGACCTATGCAGCTTTATTGCATTATAGCATTGCATTATGACAACACCGATTCTTCTCTGATTGATGTAATGTCAGAACAGAATATAAACACTTCTGCTTAAAGACAGTTACTTCATCTCACATCTTGATCACTGTACGAATACTGAAAAAGAGAAAGAAAGAAAGAGGTTAAGTGCATGTATGTATGTATGTATATGTATAAGTGTATGTATAGATATAGAAATAATTAGACACCATAACAAAGCATTTCTTCTCTTGACTAATGTGTGTGGTATATGACCATTCCAGAATACTGAAATATGTCAGGCATACAGTTGTAGCAATGCTTAGCACAATACAAGATCATTAGTAGATTCACAGAACTTACCTCTTCCCAGTGATCATAAGATCGAAGGCCTGGTTAACCTGATCTAGAGTCAGTCTGTGTGTCACAAATTCATCCAGCAGAAGCTTCCCACTCATATAATCCTGTACCAACTTGGGCACTGCCTCAGCACTCTTCCAACCTGTCAATCAGACAGGAAGAACAGAGAAGTTACTTTAAATTGCAGGTGTTTTCCACTAATACACAGTGAAATTAGAGAGGACTGTAAAATGATTAGACCTAATTCTCCATATCACATCAACCTGGTGCTGCAACATATAGGCTACAGTAGATCATCATAAGATATATTTTAATTTATCAGGCATGCTTTACTGTCAAAATAGGAGCCTTTTAGAGTTTTTCCTAGAAGAATATCCTCAGAAACCAGAGTAAGTTCTCCCATCCTGGTCCAGCCCACCATCACACAGACTCCCCCTGCAGGAGTACATGCTTCCACAGCGGCTCTCTGATTGTAAGATAAGACATTTTATCAGTTCATTCATCTGCATATGAATCCAGATCAGTAATGTTCTAGTGTGACTATATGGTAACTTGATTTGCTTTCGGAATTTGAAATAGAACTCTTTGAACCTAAAAGTATTGTTAGATAAAACATTCAAGACATTTGCTTTTTCACACTAACTTACCATTACTCCCACATTCCCCACACACTCAAGAGAGAAGTCAACGCCACCATTAGACAGCTCCCTCAGCACCTCCTGAATTGGTTTACTGTGGTCTTTAGGGTTCACAAACTCAGTTGCTCCAAAAGTCTTGGCGATCTCAGACTTGTCTGGATTGATGTCTACAGCGATGATCCTGGAAGCACCAGCAGCCTTGCATCCCATGACAGCTGCCAGTCCAACAGCTCCCAAACCAAACACCGCACATGTAGAGCCAGATTCTACCTGGGGAAGACAATGACAAAAAAATATAACACGTGCTACAAGCTGGTGGGATGTTATTTTTATCTTATGGAAGTGGAAATCACACACACTTTGCCTGTGTTCACTGCTGCTCCATATCCTGTAGACACTCCACAGCCCAGCAGACAGACTTTGTCCAGTGGAGCATCTGGGTGAATCTTGGTGACATTGTCCTCTGGCACAACAGTGTATTCAGAGAAGGTGCTGACACCAATAAACTGGTAAATCTGCTGATTCTTGCAGGTGATCCTGCTGGTGCCATCTGCAAGAAGACATTTCTGATTTGTCTCCCTAGGAAATAAAGAGGGTCTAAATGGAATTACATTATCACCTACCTCATGAATATAATCTATGAGTTCAGAAGAACAAAAAACATCACACAAACATCGCTCAGTAACATTAACTCACCAGTTTTTTGTACAGAGGTTTGTCTTTGGACTCAGACAGCGTTTGCATTGTCCACACTGGCACGATTAGAGGAATAACTTTATCTCCTGTAGATAAATGGTTGAATGGTAGTGAAGTGTTTTGAGTTAGAGCAAAATTTAAAGAAAAAAAATATTTACACAAAATGCTTTTTTATGTATTATTTATTTAATTAATTACCACAGATTATTATTTTTTTTTTTGCATTTGCATTTGCATTTGCATGTCATACTGTACATGTTTCTATTACATTTTTGTACTTATGCAAAGGTAAATTGAGGTACAAAATGAGGTGCCTTTGGACATCTTTGTGACACCTGGACCAACACTTTCCACCACTCCTGCCCCCTCATGTCCCAAGATCACAGGAAAGGGCTGGGGATTCATTGTTTTACCAACCTCATGGAGGAAAGTCCAGTCTGTGTGGCATACTCCAGATGCTATTATCTGACATTGGTCAACTGATAGTCATTAGTCTGATATATAAATACTGCTTAGTCATTCAAGCAACATCACATTGCAAGTCTACATGTAAACGGATTATATGCAGACATGGCCAGTGAAGTGTAATGGACCTACTGTACCTTAATTCGTACTTCATGTGCTTTGGGAGGGGCAACCTCCACCTCCTCAATGGAGAACGGTTTTCCTGGTTCCCAGGCCACTGCTGCCTTGCACTGGATCCCCTTAGAGAAAGAAAAACAAAATCTCAATGTGATTTGTTTCATAGTCTTTTAAAAAAAACATTTGAGTATTTTAGCTTTCTTTTTCCCCTTACCTATTTATGTCCTTACCTTACCCTCAGTTTCCATGCTAACCACACACTTTTAATACAATTAATCGTTTCCAATATTGTCTATAAACTGCCTCCTAAAAGGACATGAACAACAATAAAAAAAATGCTGAAAAAGGTTTTTTTCCCCTCCATAAATTGAACAGGTTGGAGAATGGTTTGTTTCAAAATGTTTCTAAAATATATGATAGTTCTTCTGACATTGCATTAACACATGATGTATGTAACGCTGTTTTTTTTTATTGTCACATACAAATAACATATTGTGGTTTTTAAATATGATAATTTCATGGCTAATTATAAATATACATGCATTCTTGCAATACTTTAAATATTGTGAGGGCATAATTTACTGTTAGTACCATCCCACTTTAGCTTAACATGTTAAATGAAAGGGGCCAGTAGCTTTCATGTAAAGTGGGTCACTTTAAAGCTATTCTGATGGATTATCATCATTAATAAACTGTTATGAAACATATCAGACATTAGTTAAAGCCTTGATTCCACTAATATTTGTATCTGTGCACATAGGCATGACATTGCATATATGGTATCATATGTGTTACTCACCCCTGTGTGGTGTAGCAATAAGGAAGTATGCAAGTGCACTATATCATGTTACATTCATTCAAGTTTACATTACGAAGCATGCAACACTTTTCATAGTAGAATGCTAATGTTTCAAATGCAATTTTTTGTAACCGGTACACATTTGTTAAACATTAAATCTACAGGTACAAATCATTGCGTACTATCCATACTAACACTATACTAATGAATTTTCAAATTCATTTACATTTAGGGGATTGTGACATCCCTCAAAGTTAAAATGTAGTTTTGACTAGTTCACAGTATTTAGAATGCATTCAGTAAAACAGATGACTTCATGCACAGATTTACAGTTTGCAAATGTTTGTATGCTATTAATAACTTACACGCAGAGCTGGTTTTGTCAGGGCTCAGGAGAGGACCTGCTGGTACTAGTGTACTTTGTACTACTGCACAGCTGCTATATGATTATTCAAAACGTGTTACTGGCTGATTGACCAATACAGCAGCTGAACAACAGCTGTCCTGCTTGCATGTGATTGGGTGACCCACAGATAACTACAGTATGGGACAACCTTCCTCTTCCCAACGGCGGCAAAAGCAAAACAAGTTTGGTCATGATCTGCATATATTGAAGCCCCATGGAAATTTGCAACACTTAACTGAAGGTAATTCAATGACTGTAAGCCTAAAAGAAATAATAAAAAGTTAGACCGGCAAAATTTTACACTGTTGGTCTCAAGGCACACAGAAGGGAGAGATATACTTGCTGTACAGTGTACATTGAGAGAAAAGAAATTGAGTAAATAAGGATGTCCTGCAGTGCAAGCTTGCCATCTGCTGCTAATAGAGAAGAGATACAACCAAATCAAATTCAACAAACTTGGCTTTATTGTGTGGAACAGTTTCTGATCATAACAGACATGGTCTCTGTATTCTCCTAGAGACAATAGACAAAAAAACAAGCAACGCTTTATTCAGTGAATGTGACTTCTCCTTTCCTTTGGCACCTTTAATTCGCTGTGCCTGTGTAATTTAGCCAATACATACAGGCAGTGAAAAGGGACCTTTGGATTAGCAGACAGATAATCATTGTCTTTTTCTTTGTAAATCTTGCAAAACAGTCTTTTATACTAGTCTGCAAAGTACATAATGACATTGTGAGGCTTTAGAGAGGTAGAGGAACCCACCAAAATACTTGAGTTGTTTGAAGGATATTGAGAATCATCTCCATTTCACATCTCAATCACTGTCCGGATACTAAGAAAGAGAGAAACAAATGAACAAATTACATAAGATTTTTGCAAATTGTTCATGCCTAGACTTTTTATTGTGGGATTTGAAACTATAAACAGAGAGAGAGAGTTCGCACTATGTATTTTATAAATGTATTCATTCATGTATGATCATTTAGTTCTCTTAAACCCCGCCCCTCCACAATCAAATTTTTTTCAATAATCTGTTACACACAATACAGAAGAAAAGATCTGTCACTACTTCAGTTTCATCACAATTTAATATAATATTGCAATACCATATGAACATGCCCGTAGCCGGCTATGAGGTCACCGAGGTCTGGACCTCTGTAAATGTTTCATGTTCAAAAATAAAATTTGTTCTCTGAATGACTAATCTTCTGTTTAACACTCCACATATGAGTGTCTGCATGTATAATTTCAGTTTATTTATTTTTTTATTTCTCGGCTTTTATTTGTTTTAATGGGGAAGTCGTGGCCTAATGGTTAGAGAGTCGGACTCATAACCCAAAGGTTGTGGGTTCGAGTCTCGTACCGGCAGGGATTGTAGGTGGGGGGAGTGAATGTACAGCGCTCTCTCCCACCTTCAATACCACGACTGAGGTGCCCTTGAGCAAGGCACTGAACCCCCAACTGCTCCCCGGGCGCCGCAGCATAAAAGGCTGCCCACTGCTCCGGGTGTGTGTCCACGGTGAGTGTGTATTCACTGCTGTGTGTGTGCACTTTGGATGGGTTAAATGCAGAGCACTAATTCCGAGTATGGGTCACCATACTTGGCCACATGTCACGTCACTTCACTTTCTGTGCTCCGCTAAAGAAAGAGAATCGTACGGTTTTTAATAACAATATCTGGCAACACTGCATCGTTGGCACTTAAACTGACAGTAATCAAAAAAGCCCACGGATAGGTTATTGTTGACAGGATTCACATTCGGTAAGGCAAATGCAAAAAATATCATGATACTATCTGTCAGAAACGTTAACAAACGTTACAAAAACAGTATCAACGTTATCAAAACAGTTATCATATTCAAAGTTATCATCTATATAGCAATGGCAAACTATAATAGTAATATGTAGCTATTGTTGCATGACTAATAAACAACTGATAAAATTATCCACCCTATAGTAAAGTATTAATCAATTTTGATGCAATAAATATGGTATAATTTAACAATGTTCATCCCTCCAAAACAGAGAAAACATCTTTCACATACCTGTCTCTTTTAAAGTGCTAAGTGTATATAAAGTTGTGTTTGTAGAGGTAATTAGCCTATAGCACAATTCTTAACCCCACCCAAGACCTCACAAATTTTCAAACCCTGGCTACGGCCATGCATACATGAACTGAGAGTTATTCTAAAGATTAATTAATTTGTATATAATATATTAACATTTGATTATGCTGAACATTACAGAATATTACAAGATTATTTAGCAAGCAACATTTTCTTGTGTTTTTCATCATAAAACAAATCCATAATTGTGTTCATTAATAGATGCAAAAAACTGACCTTTTCCCAGTGATCATGTGATCAAAGGCCTGGTTAACCTGATCTAGAGTCAGTCTGTGTGTCACAAATTCATCCAGCAGAAGCTTCCCGCTCATATAGTCTTGAACAAGTCTGGGCACCGCCTCAACACTCTTCCAACCTGTCAATCAGAAAAACAACAGGTTAATTACTGAAAAATTATTAATTTTGCGCATTTATACGGTGGCCGAGAGAGCTCAACGCGCTGCAATTTAAGAAAACACATGCAAATTGAAAAAACACCAGCAAATTAAGAAAACATCTTCATCAGTTTGACAACACATGCGCTGCAAATCCTCACAACACATGCAAATGAAGAAACGCATTAGAGCTGCCACTTCTGAGCCACATCACTTTCCTAGAAAACCCATCAATGCAGCCACTGATGGCAACACCAAATGGTTTGAGCTTATCATACCCATCGACATGCCACACTTGGTTTGGTCCTGCTGTAAAGTATCCTCTTCGGACAAACCTGTGTCTATGGCGAAGCTGAACTCCAGATGGGTCCAGTCTATGAATTGCATTCATTACATCATCCCTTTTAACTGTCAAGAAATACTTCTGTCGCAATATCTGCCACAGAGCTCTGTAACCTAAAAGCTGACCTGAGCCTGTCAGTTCATGTGTTATAGCTGCATTCACAGTGCCAATGGGAGTATAGTCTGTCCTCCTTGTTAGGCCTGCATTCCTTAGTCTTCTCTTTAAGGTGCTCAGGATCAGGAAAATGTTATGCATTGTTCCAAGAAAATCAAGGATCACTTCATATGTGTGGCCCTCTGAGAAATATTTATGGATTAGGCCTGCCTCTGTGATTTCATCTAATACGGTTCCTGAGCCTGAAGGGAAAAGAGAACAATGTCTTAAATTGCAGCGCGTTGAGCTCTCTCGGCCACCGTACATTTACCATCCAAACAGCTCACACTACACTAAATACAGGGAAAGCATTTACCTCCAAAATAAGTGCCTTTCAGAGTTCTTCCTAGTAGGATATCCAAGGGGGCCAGAGAAAGTTCCTCCACCTCAATCCAACCCACAATCACACAGATTCCCCCTGCAGGACTGCACGCTTCCACAGCAGCCCTCTGGTCAGAGGAAATTGTTTTAGTTCAATTAACCTCAGGGCATATACAGTAAATTACTTTCTTCTACATGGCAACTTGACTTGCTTATATAAACGACACTGAAGTAAGAACATCTTTGAAAATTACAGCTCTACTAATAAACTTACAGTTAATTAAACAATAATACACACTGGTTATAGGAACTTACCATTACTCCCACATTCCCCACACACTCAAGAGAGAAGTCAACGCCACCATTAGTCTGCTCCCTCAGCACCTCCTGAATGGGTTTACTGTGGTCTTTAGGGTTCACAAACTCAGTTGCTCCAAAAGTCTTGGCGATCTCAGACTTGTCTGGATTGATGTCTACAGCGATGATCCTGGAAGCACCAGCAGCCTTGCATCCCATGACAGCTGCCAGTCCAACAGCTCCCAAACCAAACACCGCACATGTAGAGCCAGATTCTACCTGGGGAAGACAATGACAAAAAAATATAACACGTGCTACAAGCTGGTGGGATGTTATTTTTATCCCATATTTTTTATATGGAAGTGAAAATCATACACACTTTGCCTGTGTTCACTGCTGCTCCATATCCTGTAGACACTCCACAGCCCAGCAGACAGACTTTGTCCAATGGAGCATCTGGGTGAATCTTGGTGACATTGTCCTCTGGCACAACGGTGTATTCAGAGAAGGTGCTGACACCAATAAACTGGTAAATCTGCTGATTCTTGCAGGTGATCCTGCTGGTGCCATCTGCAAGAACACCCTGTTGAGTTTTGTCCCTGGGAGGAAGAGAAAAATACAGTTAACATCTATTCAAAAGCAGATGAAAAAAAAAACATTGTATTTACTATAAATAAATAGTGTATTATTATAATTATTATAACCAGTCTTTGGTGCAGAGGTTTGTCTTTGGACTCAGGCAGCGTTCACACTGTCCACACTGTGGCAGGAACAGAGGAATGACTTTATCTCCTGCAGATATATAAAAATGACGTGCTCTGAAATAATGCATGTCACATGCCTACACACTTCTACATTCATGTATCTAGGGCAAAGTGATTAAGATGAAGCAATTGAGAAATCAGAACTTACATTTAGAAACATTTCATATCTTGTTAGAAGTAAGAATATTAAACGTGTTTATGATGGATTTTTGGCTTACCTTTAGATACCTTTGTGACACCTGGACCAACACTCTCCACAATCCCAGCCCCTTCATGTCCCAGGATCAAAGGAAAAGGCCGTGGCTTCATCTGAGCAACATAATACAGGTAAGCCCAATCTGAGTGGCATACTCCAGATGCTACTATCTAAAAAGAGTTGATGAAAAGACACTTCTTAGTGAAATAAAATAATACTTGGTTCTTTGAAAGCACAATAAAAAATAAAAATGTAAAATACAAATATTTAAATATAATTTTTAAAATAATGGTCAATTTAAAAGCATACAGTTCATAGCAAGAAATATGGTTATTCTCGGGCCTATTTTTAAGTTGTGTTTTAAGTTTAGGTTTACATTTATACTACATCTAGCCTAACATGATAAATGTAGTGTTATGGATCTACCTTAATTCGTACTTCATGTGCTTTGGGAGGGGCAACCTCCACCTCCTCAATGGAGAGTGCTTTTCCTGGTTCCCAGGCCACTGCTGCCTTGCACTCGATCACCTTAGGAATAAAATTATTATGCACTACCATTCAAGCCTTTTTTAAAACTGACAGATAAGACTTTTATAATGTTACGAAAGATTTCTATTTAATGCTGTTATTTCTATTTATCAAAGAATCCTAAACTGCATCACGGTTTCCTCAATATATATTATAAAGCACAACAGTTCAGTTTTGAACATTGAAAATAATAATACATATTTCTTGAGCACTAAATCAACACATTAGAAGGATTTCTTAAGGATCATGCTGTTGTTTTAAATTGTAATATTATTATTATTATTTTTACTGTGTTTCTGTCAAATAAATCAAATAAATGCAGCGTTGGTGAGCATTAGGGACTGTTTTAAAGGGGTCATATGATGCTTTTTTAAAGATCATTATTTTGTGTATTTGGTGTAACAGAATATGTTGACATGCTTTAATGTTCAAAAAACACATTATTTTTCAAATACTGTACATTATTGTAGGTCCTCTATGCCCCGCCTCTCTCAAACGCTTCGTTTTCTGCAAGAGAAAGGAAAATTTGAAATCGCATCATATGACCCCTTTAATTTGCTACAATACATTAATTTCCTGTTATGTCCTTACCTTACCCTCAGTTTCCATGGCAACGACACACTTTTGATACAGTGACAACGTTGCAGAGATAGAACATTTATGCCAGTTAAAATGCTGAAACAAAAGCAGAAATAGTCTGATGATTATACAAAAAAGGTTATTCATGTCAAGGATTTTTCACTGCCTACTAATTATAGTACTCTTGTCAGTCTACTGTGCTATTAATCTCTTACTTCACATTTCAACATTTTACCATTCAAAAGGACATTAAATACAGGAAATACATAGTATTATTACTCTTAACTCACTCAGTGATTAATGTTTGTCGGGGTTAGGCTAAAGAGCAGTGTTGTTGGTACTTCTTTTCTGCATTGCATATTCAGAATGTGGGATGCTGGCCAAACCTCATGTGATTGGCTAACCGGCCTCCTTCTGCGCAAGGCTGGCGGACTCAAAACAAGCTGGAACGCAATCTCCATCTAGTGGAGCTGTTTGGAAACTGCGTTCAATTTCAAGCAAAAACTCACCCCAAAATTGTATTTATACTTTTTATACCCTCAGTTACAAACCCGTATGACTTTCTTCTTTAGACACAAAAGGAGAGTTAAGTCACCATTCCCTTTTCTCTCTAATGACAGTAAATGGTGACTGAGGCTCCTTTAAAGAAAAATAAGTACCTCCTCACAACACCCTGACTGGTTAGTCGGGCAGGATAGTGGGGCCAATTAATGACACCTGGTTTACAACAAACCACTTCACTGCATTCATGCATTACCACAATAACAAATGTAGTGCTTATCCCCTGAGTAAAGGGCAAAATAGGACACTGATGGCTTTACTAGCTGTAATTGTGCTTTTTGTTGTAAGATGCTGTAGCACATTGTCAGCTGAAGGTATATTAAATGTTAAATATTAAAAACAAAGTTAAATATTTTGATTGATCTATTGTTGACTGACATTATGCTGCTGTGTCACCTCTGGGTGTGTGGGCTTGGCAATTGCTGTGCTTAGAAATTAATCAGTCGCTCTATTGTAGACAGTTATTATGCTTTTTTGAAACATACATGCAACAAGTGTGTGGTCAACCTTCAGTTTTGTTTTATACCTAGAGCCTTTGTCCTCTAATAATGAAGCCAGTAGTACAGACACCACTTATGGCTTTGTGGCCTGTGTGATTGCAGTGCTGTTTTATGGAAGTTATTTCGTTCCTGTTAAAACAGTTGATACCGGTGATGGTGAGTTTAATTTTTATGCTTCAAGCCAACATTTGAATGAACTTGTGCTAAAATCTGTTGTCTTTACAGGAATGTTTTTTCAGTGGATTTGCTGTTCAGCTATATGGTTTGTTGGACTGGTTACGGACACATTGTTTCGCCCCTCCAGAGCCCATCCTGCTGCTATGCTTGGAGGAGCACTTTGGGCAACTGGTAAATCATATGTGTGAGTGAATAAACCTGTGTTTAATATATACCGATGTTATTTGTAACAGATTTACCTCTCAGGAAATATAACAGCAGTCCCAGTTGTGAAGTTTATTGGCCTCGGACTTGGAATTTTGCTTTGGGGATCCAGTGGATTGCTAATTGGATGGGCAAGCTCAAGGTAAGCCGGACTGATGTTTGACAGAAGGGGCTTAAACTAGGGATGAATTGAATTTACTGATTTAAAACTTTGGAACATGGATTTCCATGCTGGCCCAGGCTAGTTTATGCCGTTTGAGTTGGATAAGCAGTCCATTGGTGACATAAGCAAATACTGAGACATTTGCTGAGAAAATACTGAGAACAAATTCTTGATGCAGCTTAAATCATTGCAAAATATGCAATGTTAAGCAGTTTATGTAAGATGACAGATCATTGTGACTTTTTTGTTTTATATTATTTGTGCTTCTTTTTAACTTTAGCTCATCTGTAATCAAGTAACAGGTTCTGTGATCTGAATGTTTATTTGCATGCCTTTTTGAAATTTAGAGTCTTACTTTTTCTCAGAAGTATGATGTTGCACTGGTTTAGTGCACGTTTTAAAAATATTATTTTAAGCTGTAACACTTTAGATTGAGGTTCCATTTGTTAACGCTAGTTAACTACTTTTGTTAACACGGACTAACAAAAAAAAAGTGCTTCTAAAGTGTTTATTAATCTTAATGCAAATTCCAACATTTACTAATGCATGATTAAAAATCAAAAGTTATAAATGTTAATATTTGTTATTATTGGACCTGAGCTAACATAAACTAGCAATAAGCAGTTGTATTGTTATTAAATTACTTTAACAAAGATTAATAATGTAACTGCTCATTGTTGGTTAATATCATGGGACTTTATTGTAAAGTGTTATCCGTAGTTTTAATTAAAGGCAGAGGTGAATTTACCTCTTAATTCATTCCTTTCAAGGTTTGGCTGGTTTGGTCTGAATCCAGAGGAAGTATCCAAACCAATACACAATTATTGTGGAGCTGGCCTTTGTCTGCTAAGGTAATGAGAGAGCAGGCAATGTGATATCCTTAAGCATTAATTGTGTGCATAGTATTTGAAGGCAGACCATTAAGAGGATATTTCGTTGGTTAATGAAGGCTGACATTTTACAAAGTAATTGTGTGTTCTCAAAAGGATGGCCAAAACCCACGGCCATGGAAAGGAAATGCTGCAGGCACACTGATTTAATATGGTTAGACAATATTTCCATCCCGAACATTTTTCTAGTTCACTTAGGAGTTACACCCAGGGTGCGAACTACGGGGGAGCTAGGGGGAGCTCGGCTCCCCTTAATAAGACATGGGCTCCCCTGAAAACGTGATTTGTGAAATTTTGGGGGGTCTCAAAAAATATTGACAGTGTGTAATTTTGACGTGCAATTTCAGTTTTGTGTAATGTGATCATCGTGGATTATTATGTGTAAAATTGCAAACATATCATTCATTCATGCATGACGGCGATTTAAACCTAATTCACATCAATTAAGATAACTATACATGCTATTCTTGTCATGAGCATCAAGGTGTGGGGGCGCTGCGGTGCAAATTCCACTCATGTTTAGTACGTTAACTCGACGATTCGTAGAAAAAATATAAACGTTGGACTCTGTGGTCGATTCAGTGTTAAGGTAAAGCATGTTATTCGCAATTATGTGTTGTGGCTGGGTTGTTATAGGTCTGCGTGACTCTCGATGCCTTAGGCCTAATTGAACGTAGGCATTATGGTATTAATTATAGTGCTTGCATAAAGCAAGTAGTGCATACACTTGTAGCTGTTATGTATCTTTGTAATTCATTGGAAGCCCCCTTTTGAGGCACGCTCAAGCGCACGAACAGGCAGGATAAATCTCCTCCTAAGACCTGAAGTCACTTTGTATTGGATCCACAGTACCATCTGATTTTATGGTATATGGAATAAAAACATCATTACCTTTTATTTATTGTGAGAGAGAACCCTGTGGTACAGTTTTTATGTAACACAATCATGTCTTTGTTTCAGTGCCATCATATTCTTTTTTGTGAAAAGTGATGTTCAGAAACGCACATCTGCCGAATCCATGCCTTTGTTGATTGATGATAGGGTAGGTTTGTTAAGGCTTTTCCTCATAAAGAGCTATTATGATTGTTTACGCAGAATATTGTTTTGTGTATTATGTCTGCGATACACAAATCTTTGCTGAGATTTTGTGCGTACGTGCATTCACATGTCTGTCTTCAGAGGTTGAATCCAGACAGCACAAGCCCCAGTGATTCATGGGTGGACACAATTTCACCAAAGAGCAAGAGAGTGTTGTAAGTATTTGTAGGCCCTCCGAGTTCCCTTTTTTTTTTTTTTTTTTTTGCAGTTTTCCTCAAATTTCCAGTCCATCAACACTGTACTTGAAAGTCTGAGTTTGATGGCTTCTGTGCTAAAATATTCTTGCACTTTTTTTTTAATCAATGCATTTTTTATATCACAGTTTTGAATTTATATTTTCAGCTTTAGATTCTAGTGTTGTAATATATCTGGATGATAATGATCAAATCTATGGATTTTCATGATATCCTGTTGTTACAGTGGCTGCATCTTGGCCGTATTTTCAGGTGCCCTTTATGGTTCTTCTTTTGTGCCTGTTTTCTATATTAAAGTCCATGCCACAACCAATTCAAGTATGTTCACTGGATCCAGTCAGAATGGTATGTGTATTAGTTAAATTAAAAGTGACATGCAATTGTACTACAGCTTAATGAGATATGTTAAAAAAAACAGTTAATGGGCTATTTTTTTTGCTGTCCATTACAGAAATTGACTACTGCTTTGCCCATTACAGTGGAATTTTCCTCACGAGCACAGTGTATTTTCTTGCTTATTGTGCAGTCATGAAGAACAGGCCTCGGATTTATCCCAGAGCCATCTTACCTGGTAATTAATGTGCTTTCTATTGCATCGTCTTTATTTTAACTTAGATGAAAGGACCATGTTGCCTTGTAACATCATCACAGTTGTGACTATATATTTTTTTTTACATGTACAGTGTACATTCAGGCTCTGAACACAATACATTTGTGATACAAAATATTCCTCCAGAGATTCTATCACCTTTCTGCTGAATATTGAGTTCCTGTGTTCAAGTAAGATCTTCCGTGCAGGTTTTTTGAGTGGCCTGATGTGGGGATTAGCCACATATGCCTGGCTTATGGCAAATTACTACCTTAGTGCAGTGATCACATTCCCTATAATTAATGCTGTAAGTATCATGAAAAAAATCTTTCATGTCCTCATTCACCTTGCATTGCAAATTGTATATAATGATAGTGTGTTCTACTTTGCTTTCAGGGTTATGGCTTAGTAGCTGCTCTGTGGGGAAGTGTGGTATTTAAAGAGGTCAAAGTAGGTAACATAAAGCTATTTGTATTCATTCAGTGTTTCGGATGGCATTTTGATATGACTTAGCTTGACACGTTTTCAAATGAACTTGAGTATTTATGTGTTGATTTAACTTCAGAGAACACAATTATTGAAATGGCTATTGTTTTTACATTTAGTCATGTAGCAGACGCTTTTATCCAAAGTGACTTACAAATGAGGACAATGGAAGCAATCAAAATAAAAAAAAACAGCAATGATATGCAAGTGCTAGAAGTCTCAGTTAGCTTAAGGCAGTACACGTAGCAAGTTTTTTTTTATTATATAATAAAAAGAAAACGATAGAATAGAAAAAGAATAGAGCAAGCTAGTGTTAGAGGCCTTGTTTGCTTTTAATTGTATAATAAATAAAAAGAAAACAAATAGATAGAATACAAAAAATTAGAAAATCTAGTGTTATTTTTTTTTTTTTTTGTAAGAGAAGAAGCAGTTAGTAAATTAATAGAGGTCAAGTCTAAAAGGGACAATTTGTTTTAAAGAATAGTTAGAATAGAGAGTGCTAGAGTTAGAGGGTCAAATAAAAATGGAAGAGATGCGTTTTTAGCCGATTCTTGAAGATGGCTAAGGACTCAGCTGCTCGGATTGAGTTGGGCAGGTCATTCTACCAGGATTTAAAAGTCTGTGAAAGTGATTTTGTGCCTCTTTGGGATGGCACAATAAAGCGATTTTTTTAAATGTATTTAATATTGATTAATTACTCATAATAATAAAGAAATGAAGTGGAGTCAACTTCTGTTT